TTTTAAACCTCTTTTTGAATCAAGGGCTACATCTAGTATGGCAGTTTTGTGTTCCAGAGTTTGCTAGAGTAATGAATATACTTTTCGTTAAAGGAAAACATTGAATAAAGAGATCTCTTATATCCGCATCACTTAGCAGTGCTTGCAAAATTTTTAGACATTTGCTTTTCCGCTTTGCTTATTTTTTTTTAAAGAGCCTGAGATACTGTATAATTTCTAGTTGTGCTGAAAGTGAATTTTTAATTCAATGTTAACTATGCAAACATTAATACAGAGACATGAAACTTGAAAACAGACGTACTGATAAGTTAAAATAACAGGTATAAAAACAAAAAATTCCAGCACAGATCTGTGACATCAAAGGCCTCCTTCTTCAGTGAGCTTGCATTCCCCTGAACTAAAAAGACACACAACTTTTTTCATTCTCTTCTTATAACTATAAGAAGTTATAGTTCTATAACTGTTGTCTCTTGTTAGCCTTAGTTTGACACAAACACAGTAGATTCAGATGTGCTGGCTCTGTCATTGATGAATGACTTCCATCCCTCCTCCTCTTCCCAGGATCAACCTTGGGGAACAGGTTAGTCTTGTATTGCTACTGAACTTCTGGAATGGCCTTAATGGTGGAGTTTTACTGAAATATTATATTAGGTTACCAGACATAGCACTATCTGATTGTCAGTGATGCAGTGCTCTATGGACTTTTAGAACACATTTTCCCCCTACTTTGCATGTTACCTCCATATACCTGAAAAATGAACTATTACCAAGAAAACACTTGTGCAAAAGGGGAACACTAACTCTTTTGTGTAAGAATTTGTAACAAAAGTGTGTTGTGTCTTTGGGTTGGAAAGAAGCCTTTCAGGGTCAGTTTACCAAACGCCCATAATAGGTAGACCTGATTTTTTTTCAGCCTTGGAAAGCATTTCTTCTTGGTGAATCTTGTAAGCACCATTTATGGTGTGGCATTAATAAAGGATGAAAATATGATGTTCTCGCTCTACCAGAAGCTATTTTTACTGCTTTATCATAGTTTTTTTCAAACTGACTTGGAAGTCCTCTAAAGGAGGAAAAAGATAACTGCTCTCTTAAGAACTTTCATGTTAGAATATGCTGTTCTCCCATACTGGGTGCATTTTTGTGGCCAAGGGTCAACGTACAGGAGATGCAGCAAGCTGAAGTCCGTTGATAGGGGAATAAACAGTGCAAAGTCACTGAGCCAGGAGGGGTAGGTTTCTGATGTTTTGGCATGACTGAATGGTCAGGTGCTATTGGAATCAGCAGTTGCTGCAAACTTGTGGGTGTTAGGGGATGGAAACCATTGACTCTGCAGCACTGGTTATCTAAACGGCTCTTTTGTGTGCTGGCAGCAGTGGAATTTCTCTTCGTTCCATTTTCCACATGACTTATTATCAAGTATGACAGCTTGTCATGTGTGATCAGCATCACATTAGTCCCGTGAGAACGGGTGCTCTTCTGAATACCCTCTTTCCTTCCATATGCAGGGTGAAGACTTTGTATTTGCATATACCTGTTAGGCTTGACTGTGAAGCAGTGATTCAAAGACCTTAAGGGGACTGACAAGGTATTAGTGAGCGTCTGTTCATTAACCAAAAAGAGGAACAGTTTGCTCCTGTTTGGAATTTATGGTTCAGAGTGACAAAGTGAGACTGCTTGTTTGAGAAGAGATTTCAGAAGCTAAATGAAGTTATTCTGAATGTGGTGATGGTGATATTATTGCGTGGTTAAGTAAAATGAAATTAAACTGACCATCTGTTGGCCCTTTAAGCTATTCAGGTAAATAAGTGTAAACATTATACATTGTCCTGTACATCCATTTCACATAAATTTGTCTCACAGGTATCCTTTAGAGAGCTGCATGTGCAAGCATAAACAAATGTTTGGTGGATTGATTTTGAAGTTCTTAACTTGTTTTTCAAGTGTACGCGACGTTGCAAGTTTATTTAGTGTTTTTTAAATACAGAAAATGGTTTGTTGTGTGTATTCTATTAGATATCTGCGTGTGTTAGCTGGTATTGATGCTTTTATGGTTTTCACACCCTCTGATATGAAAGCTAGTGTTTATTGTGTGCCCGTTATGGAGAAAAGGGGAAGGTGATAAAATAATTACAGTGACTACAAGCAGATCTAACTAGAGATGAACCAAGGAGAACAGGCATTTGTTCATAAGACTGCCAAATTATGGTTTAGTGCCTTTAAAACAGGAATGAAAAAAGACATGCCAGAAAGCTGCAGTGGTTGTTGCAGGACTGAAGATTTTAATGTGATTTTAATGTGAAGATTTTGATGTGAAAAATAAGCAATGAGGAAGGAATAAGGTCAGACAATAACAACATTACTGACATAAATCCTTTCCCTTTTTATTTTCTTCACCTGAATGAAGAAGTTCTGTACAGCAGAATTGTGCCAAGATGTCCAGGAAGAGCTGCAAACCATCAGTGTGGGTGCAAAAGGGCTGAGATAGTTTGAGAGTTGTTGGCATTTGGGTGCATGGGTAGGAAACACGGGCAGCATTATCAGAAGGTCAGACAGAAGATGGTTTTTAACCCATGGGTGTCAGACAACATGAAGTCCCAAAAAATAATTCTAAGGAATATTCAAACGTAAGAGACCCAGGAAAATGTGACTGGGGAAATATAGTCACTGATACTGTTGAAAGCTAAAGAGTGCAGGGCTAGTGAGGAGTGGTGACTTAAAACTTTCCCTCCCTGACACTTAGGGAAGGGAGTGGACAGAAGAGGGATTTCTTAGCAAAAGAAAATTTTGTAGTCAACTTTATTTACTTATTTACTTATTTACTTATTTAAGGTCTGAGTGGATACAAAATCCACTTTTATATTCACGAGGGTATAAGAGACTCATATCTCCGAATAGGACTGTTTTAAGGAGCTGAAACAAAGGAAGAAGAAAATTTCAGTGGTAGGCTATTGATTCAGTGGTGTGTGGTGATAATGGAACAGTTTCTGTAGTGTTCCTTAAGAACAAGGGGATTTAAAGACACGCTTGAAAGCTCATGGGAGAGAACTAAGGAAACATTGAAGAGGAGCAAAAGAAAGAAAAAGCATCTAACTAGCAAGAGTTTTGAGCTGGCACTTATGTCTGAAACATCTGTTCTTTGCACTAGTACCTGTCTCAGAAAGTTATTTGTATAGTTATTTTATCATAATGTCTTATATTGGAAAGACTGAAATTCAGTAGGCATCTTCTTAGATTCGTTATGCTTCACAGAATCACAGAATGGTTGAGGTTGTAAGGGACCTCTGGAGATCATCTAGCCCAGCGCCCCCTGCACAGGCAGGGTCAACTAGAGCAGGCTGCCCAGGATCACGTCCAGACAGGTTTTGAGTATCTCCAAGGATGGCGGCTCCACAACCTCTCTGGGCAACCTGTCCCAGGGCTCAGTCACCCTCACAGTCAAGAGGTTTTTCCCCACATTCAGACAGAACTTCTTGTTTGTGCTCGTTGCCTCTCGCCCTGTTGCTGGGCACCACTGAGAAGAGTCGGGCTCCATCTTCTTTACGTCCTTCCTTCAGCTATTGAGACGCATTGGTAAGATCCCCCCTCAGTCTTCTCTTCTCCAGGCTGATCGGGCCCAGCTCCTTCAGCCTTTCCTCACAGGAGAGAGGCTCCAGTCCCTTCATCATCTTTGTAGCCCTTTCGCTGGACTCGCTTCAGGAGCTCCTCTTCCTAATGCGACCCCGGATGCCGTTGGCCTTCTTGGCCACAAGGGCACACTACTGGCTCAGGGTCAGCTTGTTGTCCACCAGGGCCCTCATGCCCTTCTCCGCAGAGCTGCTTTCCAGCAGGTCAAGCCCCAGCCCGTACTTGGGGCATGGGCTTATTCCTCCCCCGGTACAGGATGGCACTTCCCTTTCTTGAACTTCATGAGGTTCCTCTCCGCCCAGCTCTCCAGTCAGTCCCCATCCCTCTGAATGGCAGCACAGCCCTCTGGGGTTATCAGCCACTCCTCCCAGTTCTGTATCACCAACAAACTTACTGGGGATGCACTCTGTCCCATCCTCCAGGTCACTGATGAAAAAGTTGAACAGGAATGAACCCAGTATTGACCCCTGGGGTACACCACTATTTACTGGCCTCCAAATACAAAGCTTTCAAATTTCTTCACCTGTTTGGAAACAGTTTTGTATCTTTTTTTCTACAGCATAATAATTGAGATGGTTGATGTTTTACCTAATCCTGTATGATAAGGCTGAAGCAATGTCTTGTGAGTCAGCACGCACAAGATTTATTGGGGGTCCCAAACCATGGCATATGTACGTCAGGGCATTTCCAGCCGTTTCAGATCCCTACAGGACTTGATTAGGAGATGAGAATTGACAAATGGCTGACAATTGTGGGGCCCTTTGCCTCTTTTGTTACTTTTGGACCCTATCTTAAATGATAAATTGTAGCCTGTAGGGTACCCATGAATAAGGAAACGATGTACAGTTAATAGATTTCAGGACTCTTCAATCGCACAGTTACATGGTTGCTCTTGAGTATTTTCAGACCTCCATATAAATTTTATATTTTTTTAATGAAAATATCAAACTTATGCCTATGTTAAAATGGAATATTGTGAATTCTGAACACATCTGCTTGGTTTCGGTGTAGTTTGATAATGAGTGTATTAATTTTAATTATTGCCTATTCATGTGCTTTGGTTTGATTTTTAGTTTTAAATTTAAGATAAACTGCTTAGTGTTTTTTAAAGCTGTTGAATATTCTAATTGTTTTGTTCATAAATTGATATTTTAAGCACCTGCTCTATCTTGAACAAGCCCAGAACGTTATGTGTTTCTGGGTTCACGTAATAAAACTATTGTAGTAAATGCACTCAAGGGATCACACTTTGTGAAATGAAGTGTGAAATATAACTTTCACCTTGAATTTATTTACAGTTAAAACTTCAATATCATGTTCCATTATCTACCTTATATGAAATACTACATTTGAGTAATTACTCTGGTTTCTTTTAGGGACTCAACAACAGCTTATGGCACAACATGCTTTGGAGAAAGAGGCTTTGGAGAAGATTAAAATAGAAATTGAGGAGGAGCTAAAACGTCTTGATGAAGAAATCTTGGAAGGTGCAGGCTCTTCAGATTTTCTCATTTCAATTGATAATCTCTATGCAATATAAAAGTGGTTATTTTGTAACAGGTACTCAAAGAGATTTTTGGCTGCACTGAATCTTTCCTCCCTTCCCCTTCCACCCCCCCCCCCCACCCAAGATTTCTACCCATTGTCACGTTAAGTGAAATAGTTGAACTTTACCATTTAGAGCAGTGGAGTCTAGCCAAAGCAAACAATTAAATGGCAATTAATAGGCTACTATAAATAATGAAATGTAAGCCATGCTTAAGCTGCTCTAGTTTATGACAGAAGTAAAATCATTTCTCAGCAACTAACATTCATGGGAATATGGACTTAAACTGTCCAGTGTCTCAATTCTACCAGATTTTGTTTGTTTGTTTGTTTGTTCGTTCTTTTGTTTGTGTGACCTGCTTTGACCTATAAATGTGACTTTAATGGGACTCCCAGCAAGTGATAATTTGGAAACAAGCTTTGCTTTGCATGTGCGTTGCAAACAGGGAATCCAAAGTGGAACGCTCTGGATCTGTTTTCATTCACCCATATAGACCTGTCCTAGAAGGTATAAATTGAGAAGGAAAAGGTTAGATGAACGGAATATTGTTTTAAAAACTGACGCTCTGGTACTGCTGCAGACATGTCCCTGTGTGGGCAAATTTCCCAGTGGGGAAGAGGCTCTCTTGCTGCTATCTATGAGGGTTGGCATTAGCTTAAAATTCAGAATATTTGCACATTCAGTGAATTTGCTGTGTAGGAAACAATTATGGAAGAAGACCTAGAGGGGAAATGTAGGTCAGAGTGTTCTGTGGCTTGTAAGTACCACTTCCGGAGTAATTTTGGCCTGTGCTTGTTTTACTGGCATTTGTTCATAGCATGCTTTGACAATGAAGTTGTGATTTCTTTCTCCCTGATATAATAAATTGTGCTTAACTAGTGGGATAAGAAATCTGAGACTATTGTTGTACTTAGATGTATCTATACGCTTCTTCTTTCAGCGTTTACCAGTACAGGATTTGACTGTCACACTTCTCCAGTATTCAGTCCTGCCAATCCAGAGAGCTCAATAGAAGATTGTCTGGCTCATCTAGGGGAGAAAGTGACCCAGGAATTGAAAGAACATCTGCACAAAGCACTACAGAGCTTGCTTAGCAAGTGAGTTTCTCTTTCCTTGTTCAAAGGGCAGGTATTTCCTTTTGCATTGTAACTACTGCTGTCATGCTGAAGATGGGACTACATTTTTGCATTGCATTTCTGTCTTTTTCAGAGTCCCTTTATCTGTCTGGGTTTTTGTTTTGTGTTTTAAAGTCTGAATACTTCTTTGCAGTATTTGCTCTTTGAAGTAATACAAGTTCTAGGGTTTTTTTCCTAATCTGTTATCACTGAACTTCTGAGACTAATTGAAGGAGTTTGACTTGCTGGTGAAATTAGCAGCTGGCAGATGCCATTTGCCATCGCCACTTTCACAGATGCTGGGCTGTAGCCAAATTAACAGCTTCTACCTTATAGTCAAAAGTGGGGCTAGAGGTTTCACTGTAGGCATGCCTGAGATAAGAGGGAGAATTTACCTGAAGGGAAGGTAGTTTGATGTTTTTTCACCAACGTTCAGGACACACATCTGAATCAAGTGTGGATACCTGGGCTAACTTCACTGCATTAGGAACTATCCTTTCATTTTAAGCTTATTATTTAAATAGCAAATAGTACTTGGCATCCCAATAGTTTGATTAATGTGATCTACAGATCTACAAAGTTGTGGCTACTTCTTTTTCTAATGTGAATTACTAGCCTGATTTCTAATGGAGCCACATGAACTGCTGGCTCCATTAAAAATCAGGCTTGTATGCTGAATGACCTCCAAAATGTGTTTGTAGAGAGCTAGAGTCGGAAGGTGCTAGTTCAGGGATAGTTACGTAAATGCATATGTGAAGGCAGCATTAGAAAATGGCTCTCTGAACTATATCTCTTTTGTGGACTGGTTTAACTAACGTAGCTCTAAAGGGACTCTGAATCTCTACTACTACTCTTTCAGATTTGCATAGGTGTTCATGAAATATTTAAATAGCAAGGGACTGTAAGCCTAGATACCAGTGCCTGGTTTAAACTTTCTAATCTGATATTTGGGGCTTAAGTATTCCATGCAGGTATTAGAGAGGCATCATTGTGCCCTTATGCAGGTCCCTTTATGGCAGACATTTGAGAGGTTATGAATGTGGAAGTAATTCCTTAACTAGCCCATCTTCTTGTAGTAACCAGTAAGGGTGGTTGACTTTTTATGACCAGTTTCATTAAGACTGATGGACATGGCCTGGGCTCCCCAGCAAAGGTCCCATGTAGCATCTGGCCAGAGCTGCATCTGGAGCCAGTTGGCTCTTTTCCTTGAGTCATCCAGTGGAAAAGTACAGCCTATCAACTCACTGCTTCATTTTCAGAAGCATACATATAATGTCTGCTTCTATATGCAGTTTTATAGGGTCAAAAAGTAAGTTCAATCTTGTGTAAACTAAAAATTATTTAACCACAGAAATCAGTGAGTGGACTACAAGTTTCTCCTTAAGCTTCTAGTCTTAACTAGCTACTAGATCTGCTGGTGTTCTTCCAGAAGTGGCAGAAGCTTATCTGCCGTTACAAGTCCGGCATTTGCCCCGTGACCTTAAAAACTTGTAGTTAGTATCTTCTAAAGAGTGGAAATTTTGAAAAATACCTCACTATCCACTGACAAAATATACCAGCAGCAAGTTAGAAAATTAACAGAAAGATCTTGCAACTCATCCTTCTTGTGTGTCTAAAATCATAAATTGCAATAACAGTATTGTAAGTTTAAATGCCTTATACATTGTAGGTAAGGGGATATTAGCTGTCCATCAGTAGCGTTTGGTCTTAACTGGTACATCACAGGTTGTTTCTTTCCTGGAGAGATCCTTAGGTGAAGGCTTTAAAAATTACACAGGTTTAGACCTAAATATTTTAATAATCACTTGTTAATAGCCTGACGTTCTAGTTTTTTTGTGTTCCTTATAGGAAAAACTTCCATTGTAAGTATACTTTTGAAGGTGTGTGCGTATACATATGCATTTCAGTGCTATGCAGGAGATATAAGTGTGGTTCCCACTGCTGTTACCTTGCTCTCCTTTACCTTTCAGGGTCCCTGAAGCCCTATGTCTATACAGTTAATGTAATTAAATGTTGATATTTTAAATAAGTCTGAAATGCCTGTGAAAACGTGGATGACATACATGTCTTTTTGTAAGGTGAACTAGAGCTGCTGTTTAATCTCTTAATATCCTTCCTGCAGCTGTTGTTGCTCTTCTCATCCTGCTGATTCATTTGGATTTGAGTTTAAAAGGAACTAATGTACCAAGGAAGTTAAGAGAATGCACTTAAAATAACAAGCCCAAATTATGTTTTCCACAGTGAGCTTTAACTCTGATCTTTTACCCATGTTTGCTACAGTAGGATTACTTGATAAAATGCTTATTTTCCTTATATCTGATGTTTTCCTGTTCTCTCATATACATATAAACAGGCCTGTTTGTGTTACTGCATAATAAGCTGCTAGATCATGACGGGTTCTTAGACTTCAGTAAGCAGTTATTGTTTCTCCTGGCCAACACCAAATTCCACTTTCTCCCTTAAAGTGAAGTGCGGACTTGCCTTCTGCCGTGGTCTGGCTTTTTAGGGTAACTGCTCTTGCAGCAGCATGTTTCATGTTGTCACTCAGCAAAGTCTTTATTGTCGCTGACTCTAAGATACTATTTGATCTTGGAGGAGAGAGTATGGAAGAGGAGAGTTTTGATCGTGGAGGAGAGAGTATGGAAGAGAAGAGTTCCTCATCCCGATTCAGAGAAGGAGAGATGTGATAATTCTAAAATGAGAAGTCTTGTGTGAGATATCTACCAAAATATACAGTTTTGTTTGTGATCAAAAGTGCTGTTGCTTGCAACTGAAAGCTTTGACCCTAATATAATGTTAACACAGTCAAGCAGCCTGAGTTGATTCAGTCTATACTATTTATAAAAATTTTACTCTGCAGTCACCTCTCTGTCACATGTAAATTTACTAGTAGTAGTTTTTTTTTTTTTAAATCTCCCAAGTCTTAGATCATAAAAAAGACACCATGCAAGAGCTTAGTAATTCTGGTAGCACATCAGAGAACCTACTTATCTAACGTCCTTTAAGTTGTAGACTGTCAAATTGTTATGAAATACATCTAACCAATTTTGCAATATTATACCACTGGGAGAAGGTTATGCCTTCCTGATCCTGTCTGGTGATTGTATTTTGTGCCCCAAAACATGAGACTTGTTAGCTCTTGAAAATTATTTGCTGTAATATATGTGAAAATATTTTGCTCTCTGGAAAGCGAGCATTTGATTTTATTCTTGTTCTTTTGTTTCCTTTTATAACTTTCAGTGTTGGTTTAACTTCTGCAGGCCGGTGACATACCAAGAATATCGAGAGCGCACCCAGGAGACAGCTGCTCGTGCCACTGGTTGGAACAAGGTACCAAACAATCACTTTTTCTTTCTCATCTATTTGATGTCCATGATAGTGTTGACTAGGTGCAGTGAGGTGTAGCAGAGGAACAAGAATAAACAGAACACACTTGCCTTTTAGAATTCAGTAACTTTCCCTCTCAGAATGGTACTATGGACGTATTGTGTAGTTTTTAGATAATTTGGGCAGAAGTGTTAGGCTAATCTTCCATTGCTATGGTAAAATGAAAAGTGAGATTTGTTACTTGAGTTTTTTTTTTTTTTTACAATAATTATTAAAAAAAAATTAAATTTCCAAGAAGGATTTACAGTTGTAGCAGTATTGTACTGAAATTTGAGAGAGATGTTTTTATAATATTTGTCAGCTATTCCTTTCCTCCTGTCTCATGTTTGAAATGCACATTAAAAAAAAAAAAAAGTACTCAACATGGTGAAAGTAAAAATTAACAGTGTCTTCAGAATATTTAAATTGTTCAGAAACCATAAGGAGGGTGGGCATATCTGGTTTCAGGAGCAGCTATCTTAAATGATGTGTAGCTTCTTTCTAAAATAATACGCAAGTCTGTAAATGGAGTCTCCTATGATAGTTTTAATGCAAAGTAGAATTACTGTCCCCAGATTCATATTTCATTAATCATTCCAATTCATCATTCGTTTTCTTAATCATTCTATGGCAGGTTCAGGGGACATGAGAAAAGACAAGAACAAAAAAGCTATTTGCAAATTTGATCACAAATTGACTGATAATGTTTAGTCTTAAAAAATGAAATGGAACAAGAAATCTTTTTTTTTTCCTTCTTTTAAAGTAACTTCTTTCAGAAACACTTCATTTCCTTAACTAGAATTCTCTGCTTACTTCAGAAACTGATCATTTCTCTCATCTACCTCTAACCAAGGGCGTGGGCAGTTTTTAAGCAGTTTATTAACTTTGCTTGACAAGTTACTGCCCATGACCCAGACAATTATAATTGATGTGTATGTGCTTTTAGTTTATCATATTGTGAATCATATCACTTTAGCTTAAACTGCCATGAAATCAGATTATCAAGGAGGTGTTTAAACCAGAACATTTTACTTTTCAATTCATTAAAAACAAGCATAAAATTAGTCATTGTGGCTCAGCTTCAAGGGAGAGGTGGCTACAGCATAGTCATTTGCCTGCTATGTCTCCATACACTATTGGTTCAGACCAATGCTTGCTGCTATAGTCCTGAGTAAATTGATCTTCCACCTTTGCAATTTTATGATTCAGCCCCTATTTCTGCTATATCTGTGGAGCCTCTGTGGCTAACTGTTTTTTTTTTTTTTTTGATCCCCATCAGCTTTTGATTGAGAACATCAGCCAGAAGATATATTTTTTTTGTTGCCTTTGCTTATCTGTAACATTTGTTCCTTCGAAACTTACAGTTTGCTAGCAACCAGAATGCAAAATTTGTAGACTAATACAATATCTGTTGGTATTATTTTCGAGGTATCTTGATGCTTCAGGAATGCTTTTTCCTTTAAAAACACTTGTTTTGAGGAGATGGAATACATTTGGGCTGGTTTCATTTCCTTTTAAATTCCTTTATTGTCTTAATCGGAGTCATCTTTTATAACAGACGAGATCTAGGTATCTTTCCTCCAACTTCAGTCTATCTTAATTTTCACTCTAGAGAAGAAGCTGTTAAAAAGATAATTTAAAAATGTAATTATAAATAGACATACAGAGTAGGTCTAATTAGCAGGCCTACAGCAGCAAAATGAGGCTATGCTGGCCTCCGGTTTGTGAAAGCCGGGAAGGTGTATGTTTAAGTTGGCTCTTATCAGGAAACTTTTCTGCTTTTGTAAACTTACTGATACGTTTCTGCAAGAACAGAGGCTGTATCTCTCTAGGTTATGCGTTCTCCTCTTTCCTGTAGCTAACACTATTGTAGCGATGATGTGCCCAGGCCATGACTGCTTTAAGAGGGAAAGACAAATAAATGAATAAGGATAAGTAGTTTATAATGATTAAACATGGTTTCCATTTTAAATGTACTTAATAGTAAAACTCTGAGAGAAAGCAAGAAACACAGTGCTCCCTTTAGAGAGCTGTCTGTAGATACTTTCCCAGTACTTCCTCAGATTTTTCATAAAGATATGTCTTCTGTTGAGCTTGTCAAATTGTTTTTGTCAATTTGCACAAAAAGAATGTTGATCCCTCTAATAAAAAATATTATTGTTAAACTGAAGCAAATGGCTTTGGCCCTTTTATGCCTAAACAATAACAAACAACCAGCTGAGCTAGCTGAACGGAGGAATAACTCACTCCCTTTTGTATGCCCATGGCCATTACATATCCTATAATTTCTTGGGTGGAACAGAAACCAAAAATGCACAGGCGTTTTGGTAGATGTCAAATGGTTAAAAATGTGGAAATGCCTTTGTGCAGATGGAACGCTGGGTGGTACATGTGTGATCTGGGGTTATGGTTTGATCCAGACTAGAAGAAATAAAACAACTAAAGCTAGTAGGATGAAGTGTGTTTTTAATTAAATGTAAGCTGCAAACGTTGTGTTCAGTAGTGGTATCTCGCGTGGCATGATATTCTTTTTGCTTTTAGTAGTCTATGAAGAGGTATATAGAATCTTGCTTTACATTTCTGAGTCTCTGCTGTCAAAGGAAAAGTGCAGTGGTCCCTTTTAGCAACCCATTGTGAGAAGCCCAAGTCAGAATGAACAATTTTTTTTTTACTGTGATTTCACGCATGTCAAGTTACTAGATCCAGCTTACATATATACAGATATACGTGTGTGTGTATATGTATTATGATAAATATGTATGTATGAAAGCCCCACCTATTTAATATGAACTCAGAGAGCCACACTGATCCTTTAATGGCCTGGTATCTCCGTGGCACAAAGCAGACTCAAAGCAGTCTTTGCAAATTTTGCTCTGTGTTGTGTGTGGTGAGAGCATATCATCTTTTGTGAGGTTTTGGGCTGATATAGTTAAGTTAGCTGGTTGGATTAATGATAAAGGCTTGACCAGTCTGGTTTAGAATTGGGAATGTGTCATTTTTCAGTCATCCCTTTTTTCACAGGATTTGTTCATTAGGCAAACATGAGCAGAAAGGAGCCACTTCTAAATATAGCTGTTATTTTTCCATTTAACAATGTGGACCTTTACCAGAGTGCCTTGGTACGTTTGAACTGCTGAAGAGATTTGATTAATTGACTAGTGCATGGAATGTGGAGGAATGTTTTCAGTCACTAAAACATGGATGGTCAGCTGAGTGAGGAAATAACTGCAAGGTAAATTAATGCATAGGAATATCGGTTCTTCCGTTTACATCCCACAGAAGCAAAGTATACCCATGCATATTTGAAGTGCTGGTTTTCAGTAAAGGAATTTCAGTAGAAAAAAATATGTCATGTGTTTCTCAGAAATCATGATGTGAGAATAATAGGAATGATGATGGATTTTTGTAAAGGTAAGAAGGAATCTTCACCTTGTATTTGAAATAAGTCTCTCTCCATAATAATAATAATAATAAAAACCTAGAGGGAATTATATTTGAATTATATATCTGTAATAAAATAGGTATATTTTAAAATCTGGTAATGAAATACCCCGCTCTTGAGTTTTTATGCTTTGTGCTTAAAATTAGGTATTATGTATACACTCAACAAATATACAATCCCATTATTGTGTATCAGATACAAGAATAAAAAATACTGCTATTTAGAGTCAAATGAACTGGTAAGTAGGTTCGCAGTCATCCGAATGTGCCATTTTTTACTAATTAAAGGAGCCAGAGGATAATATAACAGAAATGGAAGAAATAATTGGGTAAAGAATTATATGAATTTTCATGTTGAAACAGTAGAAAGATATACAGGAGTGGCAGTTACTTTGGATACAGCTTCTTGAGAACGTTAGTTGAACTTTCTTTGTACTAAATTTTCTTTTTGCTTACGGTTAGATCTGTAATATTGCACTGTGGGGTTGACATAGTATAATTGACAGAAATGTTTCATTTACGTGATCAGAAAGCTTGTGAGAGTAAAGTAATATTTTGTTTAATGATTCCCTAGAAGCTTTCTCCCACCAAGTATTTTCTGGCATGCTCTGCTTGTTATTGTACATGCCTTTTCTTCAGTCAAAATCTAAATAAGCCTTAGCATGCCTTCCTGTGCGCGCTCGTGGAGGAAATTGCAGTTGCTTTAAGACTAAATTTTACTTTGGCCTAGTTAAAATCTCATTGACATTCACATAGCTACGCTTACATACAAAGGGCTATTGGTAACCTTTATCGAAGTACTATGAACTTAATTTCTTTTACAAATTTAGGATGACACTGTGCAAACCTGTTCCTGCTGCTGCTGATCTCAAAAGCAGAAATTCTAGTAACTTCAGGGTGAAAGCAAAACCAGGCTGTGCGTGTTGGTCTGCAGGAGACTGAAGATTAGGGCTTGAATTTGATCCCTTGCCCCTAAGGCCTGCCAGAGACTGGCTAAATCTGGGAAGAAAGGATGGATTAGATGTTTAACTTGGCAAAGGAAGAAAGTAACCACAGTGTGCCAACATTTGATCTCCCTTAATTTCCTAAGCAGCCTTTTTTTTTGCCTGTTTCTCTTTTCTTCAGCTTAAAAGTAGATGTTAAATATTTTGAGATCTGAATGTTTATGCTGTCCCAGAGTTATGTGGGTGTGCCCAAAGCCTCTGAAAAATATCTAGTGTTGACAGCATGCTATTTTATTTTAATCCAAGCAGTTTGAAGTTTCTTCTGACACTTAACCTCTCCTTGACCTGCTCATTACACTTCTCCATGTAACTGTAAGCTTTCATCTTTTCTGCCTCTGGTTTGAGATTAATTACAAAAATCTCCAAAAAAAAAAAAACCCCAAATCTTTTAAAATTCAAGTGTCGTCTCATTCCTGGTTAAATGAATGAAGCATTAACTATTCTTTCCAGAAGAAAGTAATATAACCTGTCCTTTGTAGTATTGCACGCTCTCTATTGTTAATAAGCTCGAATATCTTAAATTTATCATGACAAGCATTTTTAAGGTCTTGTCTGTTTTAGTGTCCATCTGAGTGTGACTCCACGTTGGATTTAGTACAAGTCTCAAACCCAGCCTGCTTTTCCTCTGCTTCTTCCTCTGTGCTTTGCATCCTAAGATGTCATATCTAGGAACAGTAATGAAAGGTTATTTACAGAAAAAAAAAATCAGGCTGAAGGAGGAGGAGACTGGGATATCAGCCTCCTGATGGGAAAGGAAGCAGGCGTTCAAGGTTCAGTCTAAGCAATAGTAATAAACTGGATCTCCCCTCTTACAGACAAGAAACAACATTCTCCCTTGCACAGTGTTGTAATGACCCTCTGCAGCCTTTACAGAGAATAGATGTGCAATGCAGTTGTCACAAACTAAACACAGTAAAAACTTAATAATATTTTTCTCTTGTGTCATAATAGGGCCTTTTCAGATGTTAATGACTGCAATTCATAGCAGTTTTTCCTGAACTTGGCAAAGTGCTGCATATAAACTTGGCCCAGAGGGCTCTTGGGTGTTCTAGGAGAATAAATTTAGAGTTTAAAAGTTGAACTGCCTGTTGTTTAGGCAATCAAAAACATAACTTCAGAGTGAAGTATCTAGAAGAACTGTATAATGTGAAGGAGGTGGGTTCACAGAGTACTACGTTTTCCAGAGCAATTCACGTTTAGGTAAGGCTGAGCATTAAGTTGAAACATAAAAGGTTTGGAGGGAGGAATGGGAGCTGGAGGTGAAGCAGGGAATTTTGCACGTGTTAAATTCGGCATAGGAGGGAGGGTTTAATATGGAGGGGGGTTGTATACGTCAGTTTAAACATGCCTGTAATGGTGTTAGGCTGGGGGAAGCTGTTTGCCTCTGTCCTGTCTGAATAGAGAGAGTGAACTTCTAAAGAGACATTCTAATGCAGTACATCTATTCAAGATTATGAGTTTGGTGTTTAAATACATTTTGGAGGCGTATCCCTTCAAACTACTTATGATGTTGTATTTCGCCACTTCTGGAGTAGCAAGTTCTGGACCCGTTCTGCTTCTTTACCTGAGTCCTCCACTGGGAAAAAACGGGCCTCAAGAAACCACTGCAGTTCTGTTCTGTGACAGTCTTAAGTTACGCTGTGGTGTTCTGCTTGTCAGATTAAATGATTCTTTCCTATTGTTCTGTATTATATTTCTGTCTGGCGTCTTCCAAAAAAAATGAAGAGTATAGTCCAGGATACCTTTGTACCTTTTCTATGGACTGTATGAATTCTTCCGTTTCACCTGTGCAGTAGTTTTGATGGTGCTTTCTGTATTCATTCTTAATTCTTGTCTGTTGAAGGTCTTGGTGCCTTTGGTTCTGCTACAGCAATTTCTGATGGAGTTGACCAGAAGGGGCCAGGAACCACTGAGTGCACTTGTGAATTTTGGGGTGACATATCTAGAAGACCATTCTGCAGACTATATCATTCAGCAAGGAGGATGGGTAAGAAGACAGCTCTTAATTTCCATATTCTGTTCAAAGCTTATTTCTAACTGTGTGTGGTCGTAGTCTTAATAGCAGTGAAAGTTGGAGGGATTGCTAGGGGTAAGTATGTGAAAGGAGGGGGAGATTCTGGCCTCGGAAAAAGAAAAGAGACTCATCTTTTTAATGTTGTCTTCATACTCCAGTGACAGCTGGAAGTGGTGTGTGTTACATTCTTCCTCTTAAATTTCAGAGGCTTTTTAGCAGGTAAGTATTTGGGGAGCACTTAGTACAGAAATGCCAATAGATATTAATTTATTTTTATAATAAGTGATAAAATAGCTAACGTGTATTGGATTTTATAGAGGTACAGGAACCTGCATAGGATAGAATGAGCAATCAAGATTCTTTTGTACTATGTTTCCTTGCGGAAATCTTACATTCATACTGATCTATGCTCTTGAGTTATGGCATACTGGAAAAGTTGCATTTAAAAAATATATATTCTTAAAAGGTTTGCACTGGAAATTGTCAGAGTGAAGCCCTTCTTATGGTCCACCTCTGCATTTTATCTGATCACAGTTGATGAGCTCGGTCATCAGCTGGTAGAGCTGTGCTGAAGGAGGTTAAACTTCAGAATGCTAGCTTTGGTAAGAGTGCCAGATTTGAACAGAATTAATCTGAGATTAGTGAAATGGCTCCAGCAAGTTGATTTATTTATTTATTTATTTTTAAACCTGACCGGGAAAATCCAGTGATTAAAAAGTGCTAGTAGGAAAAATCTCATTCAGCTTCTCATATTTCAGGATTTTACCTGTAGTTTTCTTTAGGAGTAGTCTGTTTCTACATGTCTGCACCTTCCTATATACCCTTGCCCTTCCTGGCAGTAGTGGAGAATGGTTTTTAAAACCCTAAATGGTTTTTCATTTGTCTTTAATGGATGGAAACAACTGCAAACAACACACATTTGGACTTTAGTTCATTTGATAAATGCATCAGGATTTCAGAGTATTTTCATTACAGTGAACGTCCTTACTTGCAACTTCAAAACAGATGGATATTAGCGCTAAGGCCCAGGTAAGACTGTTGTGTTGTTTTGTTTTGTTTTTATCTCAGAAAAGGCAGTGGTCTATTTTGTAGCCCTCTTTTGAGGCCTGCTGTAGACATACTTATTACGGTGTAAAGCCTCTGAAAACAAGCAGCTTTCCAGCATTGCCTGCGCAGCAGGGGGATGTGCTTTGTGTTTGTGTGACTGTGCATGTATGTACAGATCTGGGTAGTCGGTGTTTAATGGGCTAGGAGCTTGTCTGTATACATCCACTCAGGCATAAAATCGGACTGACATAAGCAGCACAGCAAACAAGCCAGAACTATTTTTGAAACAGCAGAAAAAGCAAGGAAAGAGACAAGGTGATGAAAACCCTTTCCAGCTGAGTTAAGGTAGCAGCACTAAGCCCTTGTGAGTTGCTCTGGGGTAGGGTTGCTCCGGGGGACCTACTCTGCTTGTGGTTTTACTTGGAGGAAGGGAGCGTACGGGTTTATTCTGCCCGTTTGTTTCTTGTAATGACAATGTTCATTTTTGCTGAGCGATATACTTCTCAGATTGTCCTGTCTCTGTAGGATGGTATTCTAGGGATGGCAGTAGTGAGGGCAGAGCGCAAGTGGAAGAGTTATCTGTGTTTCTGAGAAGGGCTGGGGGGAGAGCCACATGGCATGCTGTTAGCCAGGATGCGTGTGATTTGCCTTTTTGAAGATAAGTATCTGCCACAGGAGCTGTTTGTGCGGATCAGGTCGTCAGTAATACTTTGCTGGAGCCATAAGGACGATGTATAAACCTAAGAGTCTGCAGTGAATGGTAACTGTTATGACAGTAAGAGGTTCGGGTTTTGTGTTATCCTAGAGTGGTGTGAGGATCGAATTACTGTGTATTGAGGAAGCCTAGAGCTTGCTTAAAAAAAATGAAAACATACCAGAGCTGTATATCTGTTGTTGTGTGGACCAGGAGCAGAGGAGAGCTTTACAGGAGCCTATTTTCAGGGGTAGACCTGAAAAAATCTGCAGCCACTCAGGTTCCTTCTCTTCCTATGGCACCATTTGGGATCATTTGGAATCTTCCATTTTTGGATTGAATCCCAACTTTGCCAGAAGGGAAGTAGCCAGTAGGAATGAAAGGAGCTAGCTGAGCGTGTCCTCTTTCCAGCTGCTGTTCCTGTGGGGTAGGGGTTTTATGGACATAGTAATACAGGGAGCCCATTTGCTGCATAACGATGTGCCGCTCTACAGTTTGAAGAGCTCTGGAGGTTGTATTTGTGTGCCAGATTCCAAGCTGTTTTGTGGGCATGGGAAGCTTGTAGGTCCAGGAAGGTACCTGAATGAGGAGCAGTTACTAGAAGCAAATTTGCTAGCTCAAGAGAATGAAGGTTAAGAGATTGGGTAGCAGTGCAAAAGATTTCAAGAAATCTGTGAGGCCTGTGAGGAATGGAAAATTTGGGATACTAGATATAGAGCCTCTGAGCCCCCAGAAGTATCTTTGGGATCTTTCATCTCTGTTCTAGAGAGATTTGGGGATGGTATGATGTATTGAAACAACGAGTGCCACCTCCCCCTTCTCTGTTCATGCACTAAAATCGTAATTCAGTTAACTTTTAACTGTAGAGTGGGACTGGATTATAACGGTTGGTTGTTTGGTGGGAGAATGACTGGCCTATTTTTATTTTTAAGCACATGTCATGCTTTAGAATTGTACTCATTACTAATGTGTATGTTGCATTCTGTCCCCCATTCCCTTTGGTGTATTTTACTGCTTTAGGAGGAGGGTCTACAGAACAGGAGTTTCTGCCTTCAAGGCACTGTATGGTGTTTGGATGCAGCTGTCACATAAATGTGTGAGAATAAATTGTTGAAAGGATTACTCCCATCTAGTTTACAATCTCTTAGATTTGAAGGTAGATGCAAGCTGAGTTTGGAGGACTATAGGAAAGCAGGGAAGTCTTACTTTTTTTCTGGATAGTCCCTCTTTCACTTCTCTCAGTGACAGGTTTGGCTGCAGCTCTTACATTTATTCTGTTTGACTCTAAATTTCAGTATGGTCTCTCTTTTGGAACCAGAGGCTTGCCTAATATTTCAAGTTCTCCAAATAGCTGCATCTGGGGTACGCATTTCTTCCTCTTGATTCTAGGTTTTGAACCCAAATGGTCATGCTCTAAAATCTCATTCCCTTATCATTTTGAACCATTGCAAAGCAATTCCCAGTCTGATTTGGCAGTAGCTTAGTTCTTCTCTTTCCCGAAAGCAATGTTAGGGCTCCACAAACGGACTTGCAGTGAACGTGCTGTTCCCTCCCCTCCCTTCCTCTCCCCTCCCACCCTCCCTCCCTCTCTGTCTTGCTCTGTCTCGACTTCTCCAGGGCTGAATAGTGCTGCATCAGAAGCAATTCTTGGTCTCCTGGAAAAGTGCACAGTAAGGCCAGTCAGTTGGTAAGGATTTTCTTCCTCTTCTTCTCCTATCTCTCAAGTAATTTATTTTTTCTCAAGCTCTGCATATCCTGTTTTTATGGCCAGATTTCATCTGTTTTGAAATAATCTGTGAATATCTGTAAGAATGGAAAAAATGTAAGATTAGTTGGAAGCTAGCTCCTTTTTCTTTTTTTCAGCTTCGTGTTCATGTTACAAGTCCATCTGCTTTTCACTTGTTTGAAAGAGCTGAAATAAGTGCATGTAGTCTGTGTTTGTTGGGATTTAATGAATAACCTTTCTTCTCTCAGTAGGAGACTGATGTTTGCATTTGTGACCCATGACTGAAATTGTCTCTGCCTTCCCAGGGCCCGTGTCTTAAAATGTTCCGGTCTGAATTTGAATTTAACTAATCATTAGCCTGTGTTGAAGAGGGTAAAGTAAATTTGTTTGGAATATGCTCATAGTATTTATAGTTTCTTATCTCAACCTTAAAAGAGTCGCTCTGTCTCTAGTATTTTGTCTGGTACTTTTCTACTGATTTTGACGTTCTCTTTGCTGCTGGTGATTGGATAATCCATGTACTAGAGTTTGTTCAAAAATCTGGAGGAAAAGAAGAGTAAAGAGGTACTTGTGCTCCCTGGGAAGCAAGGCAGTCACTTTGCGCAGTCGGAGATTAAAATCTCCTCCCGCAGCAGTCCAGGTGTCTGCCTTGAGAATGACAATGCAGAAATCTACAGGCGTGCTGCACTGGAGGGAAGATAAGGAAGTTTAGTAGGGAGGAGAGGCAAGGAAGGGGAGTCTGACTAGAGAAGTGTTATAAAGGAGTTTTCCTTTCAAAATAGTTATGCTTTTATCGTGGAACGTGTCAATGAAATGCCCACTTTTCTTCCAGTGCAACTTCTTTGGTACTATAATAGATTTTTTTTTAATGCACTGTGGTTGAAAGAAAAAAACTTAAATGGTGTGTGACTGGGCAACTGCATCTCCTTTCCCTCTCCACCTGCCTAAAACAATATTTGTCAAGGCTCCTTGAATCACTCTGTGTGAAGAAATGGTCTCTAAATTACTGAATTTACTTGAGTTTAAACTGCTGAAACTAAAATCTTAGAAGGCGCTGCTTTGGAGCTGATTCTCTGCAGATAGTGGAGGATATGCTGGAGGGAAGGAGAAGGAATGGGATCATTTCTGCAGGCTATTCTAGCCAAAATACTCCGTGAAAGGGTTGAGAGCAGTGGCTGTAATTGTAATATCAATGTGCTTTGTTTTCATTCATGTGATTTTTTTTTTTATTCTTATTTTATGAAAAGCTTTAAGTCAGATAGTCCTTTTTGTGAATTCTGCTGTTTTTCTTGGCTCCCCCTATCTTAACAGTTTTATATAGAGAAATAATACATTAGATGCATGGGAGTTTTTTGTTACTTCTTATCTTGTAAGAGTGTTTTAGATTTGGACATCGCTTCCTGACCCTTTTATAACCCATTTCTCTGGAGGATTGACATAGCAATGGTGTAGTCTGAATTCAGAAAGAGTTTGTGCGTGTACTTGTGTCTGAAGAGGTATAAAATG